ATATATATATATAAATATAATACACATATTTAATGAGTTGTTTATAGAGCATATCAAATAAAGTACTCTCTTTCATTCATTTTTAAATTCTCAATCAAATATCAAAATTTATGATAAAACTTCAACACATATTTTTTTCTAATTAAATTTTAAATAATTTCAGTAGTTGAAAAAATCATGTATGTGCTTGATTTGTGAATAACAATCTACGTAAAAAAGCTTTTTTTTTTTCCTTTAATGTTCCGAGTGTTACATCCGTTGCTCGAAACCTGCATGACTTCCCTTCCCTCCAACCTTTCATGAATTCTGTTGCTCGAAGCCTTCAATCCGATCATATTCTCCTTCGTCTAAAAAATTCCCCTTTTCTTCCACTGCCCGTACTGCATCAAGTCCAAGCCCAAATTCTCACCAACACAAATTTCCGTCACTCCTCCCCTTTCCTTTCCGAGTTCCTCTCATCCTGCTCTCGTTCTCACAACCTCCCCGCCGCTTACCTCCTCCTTAAGAATCTCAGCAACTCCGTCCCGTCTCCATGTACTCATTTTCTCCGCTCTTATGCCGAATCCCTCTCCTCTCAACAAGTTTTCGTCTTGTACCGAGAAATGCTCCGCCAAAATATCTCCCATGACAGATCAATCTTCACAGTTATGCTCCGTTCCAGTGCCTGCGAGCCCTCCAGTGTTGGGGACTCTCTCCATTGCCAGATTTTGAAGTTGGGATTTGCATCTGATATCTTTCTAATGACAGGATTACTCGATTCTAATGCGAAAAGAGGATGCTTGGAATCTGCCCAGAAGTTGTTTGACGAAATGCCTGCAAGGGATGTTGTTGCTTGTAACGCCATGATTGCTGCATTGTGTGTTCGTGGCCGCACAGAAGATGCCAGAAATCTGTTCGAGGAAATGCCTATGAAGAGTTCGGCTTCCTGGAACACTATGATATCATGTTATTGCAAGCAAGGCAATGTTGCTTTGGCTAGGGAGATCTTTGATCAGAATCCTGTTAAGGATGTTGTTTCATGGAACACAATGATCGATGGGTACTGTAAGGCAGGAGAACTTAGGTTTGCACATGAACTGTTTGAACATATGGGTCATGCAAGAAATTCAGTGACATGGAATACTATGATATCTGGGTATTTACATCAGAGGGAATTCGGTATAGCAATTTCGTTGTTTCGAGAGATGCAATTCAAAAATGTTAAGCCTACTGAGGTGACTATGGTGAGCTTGCTTTCAGCTTGCGGTCATTTGGGTGCTTTAAGCATGGGTAGATGGATTCATGCTTATATTTGTAACCACCATTTAACTATTGATGTTGTTTTGGGAAATTCACTTATAGATATGTACTTTAAATGTGGGAACATTGAGATTGCACTTGAGGTGTTCCATGAAATGCCTCTTAAAAATGTTTTCTGCTGGAATTCTGTCATTGCTGGCTTTGGAATGCATGGCCATGGACAAAGTGCCATAAAAGTTTTCCTTGAAATGGATAGAATTAGTGGACTTAAGCCAGATGGGGTCACATTTGTTGGGCTATTATCTGCTTGTAGTCACTCTGGTTTGATTTCTGAAGGCAAAAGTTATTTCTCCCAAATGTATGAAGTTTATGGAATATTGCCACAAATTGAACACTATGGCTGCATGGTAGATCTTCTAGGTCGTGCAGGTCTGCTTCAAGAAGCCATGAACTTTATAGAGACAATGACCATCAAACCGAACTGTGTAGTTTGGGGCAGTTTGCTTCGTGCATGTAAAATTCACAAGGATACTGAGGCGAGTGAGTGGGCAACACGGCGACTCTTAGAATTGGATCCTAATGACGGAGCAAATTATGTTTTCTTGTCCAATGTGTATGCATCAGCAAACCGATGGGATGATGTTGACATCAGTAGGGCGATCATGATGGAACAAGGGGTTCGCAAGGTACCTGGCTGTAGTTCTGTAGAGGTGAATAACGTGGTTCATGAGTTTGTTGTTGGTGATACTTCACATCCACAGTTTGAAAAGATTAAGGCCTTTTTGAGTGAGATTGAAAGGGAGTTGAGGAACCTGGGTTATCAACCAGAAACAGGTTCTGTGCTTAATGATATAGAGGAAGAGGAGAAATAGAATGTTGTCTTGTATCATAGTGACAGGGTTTCTATTGCTTTTGGATTGATTAACAGGAGGAAAATGGAGCCGATTCGAGTGGTGAAGAACCTTAGAATGCGCGGCAATTGTCATGAAGCAACAAATTTTATAGCTTGGCTATTTAAAAGGGAAATAATTTTGAGGGATAGCAGCCCATTCCATCATTTTAGAGATGAAGCTTGTTCTTGTCATGAGTATTAGCGAGGCCCTCTTTTTATTATTTGAGGTAATATATTCAATCCATTTATTTAGTGGGTTATTTCTAGAGTCTAGTATGATAGCTTCTATGAATTTTTACATTTACCTGCTCTTTTCAAATATTTCTTCACCAAAAACTTTTCAAATATTTCTTCACCAAAAAAAAAAAAAATCCTCGTTTCAAAGATAAGTGTAGCTCCTTTCTTTTCTTGTTGTATGATAGGGCTACAATTGAACATCACTAAGTTGAGAAGATACCTATTCAAGCTTGAGCTTGTTTATTAAGAGCGTGTTCAAGCTCGGCTTGAGCTCGATTCGAGCTTTTAAGAATATGTTTGATTCATATAGGAATTATCGAGCTTATTATGAGCAACTCATTTAACAACACAAATGAGCCATAATCAAGCTTTATTCGAGCTTTATATGAGCAACTTATTTGGAAAAGTAAATGAGTCATATTTCGTTGATCCTAAAAATAAATATTTAAACTATATCGCTCAAGAGTTGTAATCGAGCCTTAATCGAGCTTGTTCATGAGCTTTAAACGATACTTTTCATGAACATAAATGACAAAATATTAGCGAACTGTTCAAGCTTGTTCATTTAGTAATCCAGTTTTTATGTAAATGTTCTGGCTCATTCAATTAGTTAATCAATAGATCATGCACGAGCTTCAATCGAGCCGAAGCATGAGTAACTCAGCAAACACTCAACTCATTCGCAACTCTTTTTTCTTACAAAATAAAGCTTAGACATTTAGTATGCAAGTCATTCTCCGTAGTTCAATGACTAAGGGTTAACTTGGGGCAGCTTTTTCCCAATTTTGCCTTTTAGATAATTGCATATTTTCATATGACTATAACTATTTTTTCATACTTTTCAGAATTTACGTGGTGAGTAGAAGCTTTTTACCATCAAATTTGTTAAAATGTACTAACCATAAAAACTTTTCTGTTTATTTTTTTCTTAAAGCAAAAAAGTATATAATACTCTTAATAGTTTTCAAAAAATATGTTTTCCTGTGATTATTCTATAGCTATTTTTACAGACAGATGCAGCTACCTCAATTGAATTCTAACTAAATGCATTAAAAAAGAGCATTATGATTTCATAGATTTTGTTTTATAATTGTCTTATATTGTTCTATTTTGATTTTTGGTTCTTATTGGTTCAGTGAAGGGAACACATCGTCACAGAAAGATTGTTTCTTTCAATTAAGCTCTGCTTTTACTTTTTATATAGTCTGCTTGCAACTTAATGTCATCATATTGTGGGATAGGTGTTTAGAGTAGTTAATTCAAAGCCTCTATATTGAGTTTCATCCACTGTCTATGTATGTTTTTGATGATAATTCAAAGTGATGCCAAATGACAGTGATATACAATCAGGGCATCCTCCTTTTAACCTTCACGGGTATCCTCCTTGTTGATAGCAATAAAGCAGCACATTGTTGTGCCCATGCAACCTTAGATTGACACTTTTTTCTGAAATATAATGGAGCAACATTCTCTTTTTTTACTTATAATAAAAGATAGGTCACATTTTAAAATGTCAGACATGTTTTTGTACACATTCTATACTTTTTTGACATCTTGATGCAAAAGTGTAACTTTCAAAGACAACTTCTTTCAACCCTGAATCGAACTTGTTCTTTGTCACCCAACTTCTTTAGCATTAGGTTGTTGTTTCTTTTGTGTTTTCAAAAACTTTATTTTAAATTTTCAATATTTATCAATTGATTTGTTTGTTCGGGTCTAAAGCCTTGAATATGAAAAGTGAAGGGTTGTGTTAGTTAGTCGATATCCTGCATCAAATTTTTATCAAAAAGAATCATGCCATGAATGATTTAAATCATTGTGTAAATGATAGATGTCCCTTAGAAGTGACACGCCGTATGACCTGGATACAGTGAAAAGTGTGCAAGGGCCACGCGTCAGTTCCGAGTACAGTGTTAAATTATCGAGGATTCTTGCATTATAGATGAATGTGTGCAAAGAAGTTAGTCAATGAAATTAATATTAGGAAATGATCTTGAATTATATGTACTCTCACAGGTAAATTAATGGAATTAGTTGGTATTATGATTCATGTGAAGAGAAATATCTAATGTATTTAATAAACTAAATGGATTGGAGAAAATACTAAAAAAATTGATAACTTAAATTTTAAATTTTGATATTCAGGCAGGAGTTAAAAATTAATAGAATTGGAGATATAATTATAATCCTAAAAATTGCTATTGGTACTAAAATTTTTAATGTTGTAAGTGTTTATGTTTCTCAAGTAAGTTTAGATATATTTTCAAAAGAAAAAGTTTGGAACAACCTAGAAAAATTAAAACAAATGATATCTTTTGAAGAAAAAAATTCATTTGAGGAAATTTAAATTGATATATTGGTAGAGTGGTAGAAGATTTTAGAAATATTTATGATAGTTATGATTTTAAAGTGATTAATGAAGAAGGTAGAATCATGAAGAATAAATAATCATATTAAATTTTGTTTTAGCTTATAATTTTGTTATTGTTAATATTTTATTTAAAAATACAGATGAACATATTATTACTTATAAGAATGGATCTAATAAAACACAAAGTGATTATTAACTTAAGGGGAAAGATCATCGAGAATGTAAAGATTGTAAGGTCATTCTAAGTGAAAATTTAATTATTCAACATCGATTATCAGTTTTAAATTTTAAGACGAAAAGTTGAAAGATAAAAGATACAATGGAACATTATTATAGAATTAGATGAGACAATTAATCGATACAAATAAAAGTATTTTTACGAGCAAACTTAAAAAATTTAAGATTTAGGATGTTCATGAGGGAACTGATTTTATGTGAGATAAAATAGCAATCACTATGAAACAAGTGACAAAAGATGTACTTTGAGATTTAAAAGAAAAAGTTTTTATAAATAAAATAGTTGGTGGTAGAATAATAAATGTGCAAGAAAAAATAAAATTTAAAAGGTTTGTTATAAAAAATAGTTTAAATATAAAAGCTTAGAAAAATGGGAAAACATAAGGTGGCCCTAGGTAGTATGAGAGAATTATTTGGGATGTTAAGAATTCTATTTTTAGTGATATTTATATTAGATCAAGTAAAGTGCATTAAATGTTAAAATCAAAAAGTAATTTTCTTAGATAATGATATTCAAAGGTAGGTGATATTTTGAAAAACTTTTAAAGGAAGTTGTTGAAAATACGATCTACTTTTTTTATCCTAATATCGCTAATAGTAATATTTTTTTATTTTTAATGTTGTATTAGTAAAAAAAAAGTTGATATGACTTTAAAGAAAATAAAGGGTGGAAAATTAGTAGAAACGATGGTATCCTAATATAATTGTGAAAATATTTAGGAGATTTGAGAATTTTTTGCCTTGCTAAAGTTTTAAATATTATTTTAACAATTAAAAATATGTTTGAGCAGTGGAGGAAGTGTATTTTGATCCCTTTTTTAAGAATATAGTGGATGCACAAAAATGTGCAAATTATAGAGAAATTAAGTTAATAATGTCATACATTAAAATTATGGGAGAGAGTAATTAAACATAGGTTAAGGTTTGATACTTTCTTATCATCAGTTTGGATTTATGCTGGGAAAGTCTACTATGGAAACGGTACAGAGAGAGCAAGGAGGATTTACTTATAATTTTTATTGATTTATAAAAGGATTACGATAAAGTTCCAAGAGAAATTATTTGGAGTTCTAGAAAAAAAAACACTGATATGACTTATATTTAGGTCGTTAAAGATATACATATTAGAGTTGTCGTGTTTGAATAGAAGGAGGATTGCCCAAATATTTTCCTATTTCCATTGGATTATATCAGGGATCGAATTTAAGCTCATATTGTTTTGCTTTAGTTATGTATGCTCTTACTAAACATTTATAGGAGGATGAACCTTGGTATATGTTTTTCGTTGACGATATCCTTCTTGTGGATAAGATAAGAGAAAGAGTTGAGGAAAAACTTGAATTATGGAGGTCTACTTTAGAGTCTAAAGGCCTTCGTTTGATTAGAGCTAAAACTGAATAAGTGGAATGTAATTTTAGTAGTAGTAGATTTAGTGACACAGTGGTAATAATAGATGATCAAATCATATTAAAAGGAGTGAACGTTTTAAATATATTGGGTCTATAAATGTTCAAAGTGATGGTGATATAGATGGGGATGTTATTAGTAGAATTCAAGTTGGGTGGTTGAAGTGGAGGAATACATTGGGCCTTCTGTGTGATAGAAATGTACCGCTTAGAAAAAAAGGAAAATTCGATACTAAGTTAAGTGTTGCTGATAAGAATGTTTAGGTGGATGAGTGACTTTACACTTAGAGACAATGCAAAACAAACATATCCAGAAAAGGGTTGGTGTAGCTCTAGTGACAAACAATATTAAAGAGAGTCGTCTTAGATGACCATCTGATGATCTAGTTAGGAGAGAAAATATTTAGATTCAACTTATGTTAATAAAGATAGAGGTAGACATAAAAAAGACTTGGGAATGCTGTATAAAAAATGATCTTAGTTCGTTAGAATTAAATGAAAATATGATACTCAATAGGACACAATGGAGAAAAAGGATTCATGTAGCCGATCCCATTAGTAGGATAAAGGTTTGTTGTTGTTGTTGTTGTTGTGATGCATTTGGTTGAACTTCTTTCTTGTTTTCTTTCTATAATATTTTCTTTTGGGCTACTTGAATTAATTGCATGTAATTTGTTAGTTCATTTTTTTCAACTCTTATATGTACTTATAAATCACCGAGTAAGAGTCAATCTTGAAAATAACAAAATTGAATCGTTACTTTGCACTAAAATTGTTTAAGGATGTACTACACCTATCGTTGATGAACAGGCACAAAATTAAGGGCTCAAAAATTGCATAGTTGGACGCAAATTTCCTAAAAATAATAGAATATGGACGTAATTGTTAACATCCAAGATTTGTAAGTTTAATATCATTAAAAAAATTCATTTACAATTATATTAAACATTAAAGATAATGTGATTCATCCACTATGTGCCAAATTGGTGTCTAATATTTCCAAAGGTGTTTTAGAGATATGAGAGTTAGACCACAAGAAACTAAATGAAATGTTCAAAATAACATTCTTGAGTTCCAAGTATACAAAGTAGATGTCTTAAAACAAACAACGACCCTTTGGAAGTGTTGGGCCTCATGATAATTTATTACATACCGTGTCCGTGCTCCATTACATACAAAGGCTACAAGTGTTGAGATCACATGATATTACTTTTAAAGATGAAACACATTTTAACGAAAATGTATTCAATACTTTTAGCGATACATATGATCTACATTTTTCTTGCTCATTCAAATTTATCTTGTAGGGTTCTAAGAAATTATTTGAGTTGTCTAATCTGTTTTTTTTATTTTGGGGCATTTTCATACAGACCACACAATTCTCATGTATTTATATATCTAACACCTAAATATTCATATACATAGCACTCAAATCATTAACATCATACCAAAAATATCACAATCACATCTTTTTAAACGTGAATTACACCTTCTCATTTATGACACTAATGTGTTGTAAGTGTAAATATTAAACTTTTGGTGTTAGATATGTAAATATATAAGTGTGGTACGTATGAAAATTTCCCTTTTATTTTTCAACAGAGGTTACAAACAAATGCTGCATTGTGTGTTTATAACCTTGAGTATTTTTCTCGGCTTCAAAGCAGGGAGAACATGTGTCTGGATATGTAACATATTGGTTGAAAACAAAATGAAAAATCCCATTGAGTCGGGATTGAGCGCTTACCCTGCTCAGAAAAAAAAAAAGAATATATATATATATATATATATAAAAAATACGGGAAGAACATTGAAATCCGTAAAACTTAACTATGCTGCATTATATATGTCATTTGCTCCTATTAATTATTTAAAGTGAGTATGTGGTAGTTACATGAAATACACACCCCTTATAACACCAAATCACAACTCAAATCATAACTTTATCAATACAAGTGACAAAGACTAGTAGTTTTTGTAAAGCTCGCATAATTAGTACATTATTATGCAGACTGATCGGCTTTTGTCTCATAGCCAAGATGAAGGGCTGTTTGATCTTGATGGTGTGAGTAATGAGATGCACTTTCCAACATGTTGATGTGATAGTAATTCCTAGAGTCGAAGCTTGGAATGCTCTCAAAATCAACTCCTGCTTGCACAATATTTGCCTGCTGTGCTCTTTCGTTATCTGCTATCTGGGCAAAAGAAACAATGTGAGATTTTTACTTTAGAATGAACATATTATGCCATTTTTATGAATATATATATATATATATATATATCTGTATCTGTGTGTAGAGAGAGAGAGAGAGAGAGAGAGTGATAGTTGCAAGAAAAATCCCATGGTGTCTTGATTATATTAAAATCTGCATTTAGTCATCTGATGTTTGTCTCATTATAAACGCATATGTTTCTTAACATGCGTGATCTGAATAATTTAAATATGAGACAAAAGTCAGGTTTCAGTTTAATTGCATGCAATGTTCTTGGTGTTTATATGAGAATAGCATTTACACTTTGTTAATCAGAACGGCAGCATAAGTGAGCCTATTTGTTTGTTTAAAAATTTAGCTGTCTTCTTAACTTTGCTGCTTTCCGTTTAGAAGGCACAAGCATCACAGTTGGATTTCATTCATAATTATTGTTCTTCACCTTGTAGATTTATTTTATTGTTAGAATAGTAAGTTTTCTTTTAAGAATTTACAGGTTTTGTTGTTTGTTTGCAAGCGATGTCATTTGACTTCCCATGTATCTAAATTGTTACTTCCGGTTAGTCCAAGAAAATGCAAGGTTTTTTCATATAAGAAAGCTTTCTCTATAATGCAAGTTTGAAGTCATAGTGGGTGCCAATTATAGTTTATTTGGTAAAAGCCTTGATATTTGTTTTTAAGGTCTTGGATTCGATCTTTGCTTATGCCATAAGAATAATATAAGAATACCAACAAAAATTTTTATTGATAATTTTTTTAACAATTTATTTGTAATTTGCTAATTTGTTAGTTTATTTTGTAGTTTATTAGCAATCTATAAGTCAATTAATTGCTTGTTAATAGCTTGTCAAAGGCATCAAATGTGATGTTCTTCTCATCTTTGATCATTAACGAGACTTTTTCATTACAAATAGTCATTAAGTTAATGTTGATCTTCAATTAGATGTAATGCATGCAGATTTAATCAAAATTATTATTGATCTAAATTTTCTTAGATTGTGCTATAAGTGTATCTCTAAGAACAAGTGATTTGGATATAATATTTTAAATTTTATTTCCACATGACTATTGGAGTTATTTTAAATTCTCTATATACTATTATTTTGTTAGGCTTATTGTAGTCAGTACCAACAAATCTGTTAATAATATTTGTTAGCAATTTTTTAACAATTTATTAGTAATTTGTTGATTTGTTAGCATTTTGCAGCTTATTAGAAATCTATAAGTCAATTAGCTATTTTTATAACTTGTTAGTAGTTTATTATGTTGTAACCTATAAATATTGGAATTATAACTCAATATAGATGTTTTTATGATACGAATAAAGTTCTACTTTGGTTGTGAAGATTCTTCTTTAAATGTTGAGATTTGATATTTGCACAATTATGAGACCTAAAACCCTTCTAAGAAAGATTCTATATTTGTTTAGGGATATGAATCCTCTCTCTCTCTCTCTCTTATTTATTTATTTATTTATTTTTTTTTTTTGAAAAAGTAGGAATGATTTGAATTTTTATGCATTTCATTGGAAACTAGATTACAATGCAAACAAAGAAATAATTATACAACTTGCACGCATTTGTTTTCACCCAAATTTCGGAGAGAATTTTTCTAAGGCCCACTTTTTACCAATGTTGTTGTAAAGATGAACACTAGCCTTAGAATTCTAAGGATTACAAAGTTGACCATTAGAAGCACTAATACTCATCTCAAGCAATAAAGTACATATTTTTCATACTTAAATTTAAAGTGATTTTATGGAATATAGAGCTAGATGGTGATGATTGATTTATCCATGCTTTCAAAGTGATTAGATTCTCACCTAGGAAAATGCATCAACTTGTTGTAAACCTTTTGTTTGTTAGGGTTCCTGCCTAATTAACAATCAGTATTAAATTAATTTTTTTGGTATTACTTTTAGGTATTGGAAAGGTTTTTATGCTACATATAGATGTATTTTTCAAGATTATGCATAAATTAACTTCTGACACTCAAAATATAATTTATGTAATGTTTATGTGGGCATGCAAAATAAGCTTTCCAATCAGTCCTTGATACCTTCTTTTGTCAACTTTTAGGCTATCGTTAGCCTCTCCTACTTTGTAGCCATAATCAATTAGGACTTCTGATGGCTTGCATCCTATCTTACTTCTCTCATTTAGTAGATCCTATCTTACTTCTCTCATTTAGTAGATCAATAATCTACTTTTGCTATGAGATGAATATCCCAATCTTTGAATGGACCACTTCGATTCTATGAGAATATTTAAATCATTTAATATTTGTAATTTAAAATTCTTTAAATAGTTTACCTTTAATTTTTCTTATTTAATTGCTTTCATCACCTATCATAATTATGTCTTTGGCATTCATTATAAGAACTACAATTTTACCTTTTATACTCTTATAGTGTCTCATTTGCAATTTATTTGGCAGTGTATAACCACCTGTTACCAAATAATTTTGTTTCCTCTAACAATTCTACCATCTCCAATGTTTAGTTTTCTTTAAGGGCTTATCTTTTTAGTCATAGCATTTTTTTCTTTATTTTTTTTTAGATAATTATTGGAACTTTGATATTTGTTATTTTAGTAATACAAGTTTTACGCGAGAAAAAAATTATTGGAGAGTTAAATAAAATTGGTTATGGAAGGTTGGATGCATGCTAAGATTTTCTTTTCTATTACAATAAGAAGACTCATGTCATGTTGGATTTGAATTTCAAAGGTAGAAATCATTCCTTTAGGACATGGTGATTGGTCTTTAATTCCTACTAGTTAAGTGGCGTTCTCCTAATAACATTTTGCAGCATTCCTTTCAAAGAATAGATTTGTAGTAGTTTAAAGGAAATGATGCTTTTATTTTCTTTCTATGATCTCATTTTGTTGTGGGGAGTAAACATAAGAATTCGTGGATGATGTTATTTAAATGAAGGAAAGCACAACCTCATTAAAATATCCCTCTCATTATTAGACCAATATATTTAATATTTGTTTCAAATTGAGTACTTTTTCATTTATGAAATATCCACATCCAATTTATCTTTCATTAAAAAAAAGTCTATTATGTGCGAGTAATTCATTCATTAAAGTAAAAAATTAGCCAACACTATTAATAATAGTGATATGAGATAGTCCATAGGCAATGGTATGGATTAAGAAAATGGTGTTGAAATTTTTAAGTATGGGAACAAAGAACTCTATGGTGCCATTTGACACACCTCATATTGAATCCGAGACATGAGTTATAGTACATAAATGGATGACTTATCCCAATATAATTGAGCCACATTTGTGCCCTTGGTGCATCCAAAATTTTTTGATAAATGAGGTACATCTATATTATAGGGACTTCCTTATTCTTTAATAAGCCCAATCATCTTCCTCATTTTTTGATCCTAAATAGAAATAAATCATGGAATGCAATTTTGGTTAGATGTTAAATTTTTAATAACTAATATATTTATTGATTGTTCTGATACATTAAGTTGATAATGTAAAGAATTGAGTTCTATATATATCTTTTTTGTAAAAAATGATAAGGTTTTATTCGTTGATGTTATTTAATATTTTTTTGGGTAGGGTATATGGAAAGAGAATTTGGTGAAAGAGCTGGTTGTGATAAGTTACTCCCAATTCTATTGATTGAATTTTATTTGAGCTAATTTTAAAAGTAGAGAAATATGAAGTGAAATACTCATCTGATTGAGCTATGGAGCATATATCTATTTTCTTATTGATTGTTTCAAGAAGACGTAGTGCTTCTTTCTTTCTTTTTTTTTCTTTTGTCATATGTTTATGTAGTATTTTTTTCAATAGATCTAGTGTTTGTTTGATGAAGTTTGAATTTGTTTTAATATTAAGGATAATATATAAAGCAAACATCGAATCAATACCTATGTGGGATGCGATCTCGTGTCCATGTCTGACACTTCCCTATCTTTTTACCTCGAGTGGCAGGGACTTCATCATCATCTTTGAACATTGGAATTCTTATGCTATGATGATAATTAGCAACATTGAAGATAAAAATATTATAATAGCTAGGGAAATCAATCATATAATCATTTTAATTAATTTTCTTGATAACTTTGAAGGGACCATCTACTTTAGATTTAAGCTTTTCAAAAGAACCTAAAGGAAATCACTCGTTCTTCAATTTGATCCATACCAAATCTAATTTCTTAAAGAATATGAGCTTATTGAACTTATTGGACTGCTTTTGATTTTTGATATTCTACATGGAAATTTTTCTCCTTTCATGCTGATGTAAGATTTGAATTTTCTTGACTCTAACTTCGACATCAGTACTATGCTCAATAGAGGGGAGTATCAATACTAGCTCCAATGGTATGAAAGGATTCCACCCATATACAACCACAAAGAGGTTGTCACCGATGGACTCAACTTTGGGAAAGATGAAGTCCTATTATCTTATATTTTTGCCCTTAAAGGCATTTGAGTTGGTTATCTAAATTGTAATTCACCACCACTTTTTGGCCATCTATCTGAGGGTGCGTTGTTGAACAGAATTAGAGCTTTATGCCCCATCTTAACTCTTAAGGTCCTCTAGAAGTGGTTCATAACTTTCACATCCCTATTCAAGGTGATGGTCAGGCACATCATGAAAGCGAAATATCTCCTAAAAATAAATTTGCAATATGTTAAGCATCCATCTTCTTATGATAAGGTATGAAATATGCCATCTTGGAAATGTGTTCCACTACTACCATATTAAATCCTTGTTTTGTTGAGTTCGTCGGAGACCCTCAACAATGTCCATGTTCACATCCATCTAAGACAATTCTAAAATAGGCAATGTCATATAGAGACTTATATTTCACCCTTGTGTCTTAGCTAAATGACATAATCTGCATTGTTTGATATGCCTCTACATGTCTCGTACCATTATAGGTTAGTAGAAGTTTTGTCTATATTTATGCTCCTCAAGTAGCTTTAGATATAAGTTCAAAAGAAAATTTTTGC